TTAAAAGAAAAATTAAATTTCATGTATTTTAATTTTTCTGAATATTAATTTTGGTCGGAATTATTATGAATTTGCCCAAAAATTATGAAAAAAAAAAGCATAATCCTGGACTCAATTACCCCCAAAAGGCTTGATAATTTTACCCTGAAATTTTCATATCACATCCAAAAATATGTAACTTTACCTATGAAATTCCCTATGACATTTTGTTTTCATTTAGACAATCAGTGTTGTCAAAATTGCCAGTCCAATCAGCGCAGTAAAAAAAATGGCTTAGTTAGGAATTTCGCACCCATATTTGATTGGCTACAATAATAATTTAAAGTGATAAGAAATATCATGAAACCAATTAAATTGTGCCAAAATGTCAATTCGTAAAATATATTTTTCATATAATAATAATTATTTTGTTATAGTATTATACATTATTCTAATTGTAGTTTATGTCTCTTCTTCTTCCTCTTTCTCTTTGTTGAATGAAATTGATAATAAGAAATGTGATAAAGACATAAACTGTTATTCTAAAGTTTTTGTTGCCACAAATAATTTCCAAGAAGTGAAAGGAGGACAATCAATACCTCCAGGTACGATAGAGAGTATATATCTTTTTTAATGTAATTCGCTAATAATTAATAATTAATATATTTTTGTATAGGACTTCATGTTAAAATTGATTTTAGTACTGGGAAAAAATATGCAAAAATTCTTGATCCTAATGATCCTAATGATAATGATTCATCTGATATAATAATAGTTGATCCAATAGAACCAAACAGCAATAACAACAATGACAATATTAAAGATGACGATCATGCGAATGATAAGAAATCCCAAAGCTCAAATAGTCAAGATTTCAAAGTGACAATACATCAATCACCTTCATCCTCACCTTCTTTTTCATCACCACCCTCGTTTGATAGTGACAACAACAACAACATTAATTCAAATTACGAATTTCAAAAGTTATTATTATTACACAATAAAAACGATCGAGATGTTCCACATTCGGACCATATTCTTTTTGATGAATATGTTTCTCAATTAGAAAAACCTACTTCACATCCCTTAACAATTTTAATATCTGTTTTGGATGGATTAGAGGATTTGGTTCATGAACTTGATTTTGGTATAAAATTGACTAAAGAATTTGGATTAAAGTATTTGATTTCACTTTTAAATTTTGATTCAGATGAAGTCAAACAAAAGGCTGCTATGGTTATTGGTACTGCATTGCAGGTAGCTAATTAAAAATAAAATGTGGTTATTTTGCAGAAGGCAATAAAATTAATATCTTTTCAAATATAAATATAAATTTATTTCTAGAATAATCCATCAGCACAAAACAATGCGATTAATTTAAATCTTGTTCCATATTTATTGGATAAATTTTCTAAAGAAAATAATCTTAAAGTTTCTTCACGTCTTCTATATGCATTATCAAGTTTAGTGCGTGGTAATGAGTATGCAATACAATTCATCAAAAATAACCAAGGGTTAGAAACATTGACAAATGTCTACACAAAATTTGACGACAATGAATTTAAAGCAAAATTTGCTGTATTTATATCAGATTTTATAGATCCCAATATGGTTAAATCAACTGCTACTACTTCTTTACCATCTTTTAATGTAGCTCACGTTGATCAAAATCAAGATCAAGATTCATTAACATTATTTTCAACATTGATGGAAACTCTATGTAAAAAATTTCAAGATACTTTATTTGATGATCAAGGAAATGCTAAAAATGTTGATTTCAATTCACGTGAGAAGATACTTGGAGGAATCTCAATGATAAAAAATTATTATTCGAATATGTGTCCTGCACAAAATGGATTTGAGATTTGGTTATCAAAACAACAAATTATTTCAAATATTAAAGATGATGAAGATTCTTATGATTTAGAAGATTATTCTCGTCTAATAAAACAAATTAAAATTCAATATGATTTAAAATAATTTATTTTTGTTTTTTATTAAGAATATTAATGCTAGCAATGTATTACTATATTATTTATCATAGAAATAGTAGCTAAAATTTTAAATTTTAATATCTCATGTAGTTTAGAATAATTTTATCATTATTATGATTATTATTAATAATGTAAAAATTTTTGATCTTTTAATTACATCCATGTCTCTCATCCATGTCTTTTTCATCCACAACTCCATTTTTAAATGGTAAATCATCCGAGATTTATCGTGTCAATAAAATATCAAATTGAGTTGTCATCAAGATTTGATGGTTTCATCCTATGCTTTTCCCCTTCTTTACTTTTATTCCACGATTTTTATAGGTCTTAAAAGACCAGTCACTTCGAACCACGGTTCTTATAGGAACAGCGGATCTTTCTTAATAAAATTTGAATTATATTCCAAAGTTTTATAAATATTGTGATAAATAAAACGGATTTATCAGTGCCATCCGTCCAATTGTATGTTGGATATGTGACCTAGCCTCTTTCGTTTTAATATTTTAATATTTTTATTAGCGGAACAAAAATAATTAAATTTGTGCTTACAAATTCACTGAAGCTTTCTAGGTACAAGAAAAAGGCAGTAAGATAATTTTGTAAAATAAATTGATTGACGAGCATTGTACATATAAAAGCTTGCAATAAATCGACAAGTGTAGCTAAAAAATTATCTCGAATTCGACCATAAAACGTAAAACAATCAAAATCGACCAAAAAGCTCCTTTGCAATATGTAATTCACATCAAAATATTATTGAGTTAGCCTTTAAGCGATCTTTAATCAGTCCCAAAAGACCGGTCTTTGGGACTGATACCGCGACCGGACCAACCTAGATTTTTCTTCCTGTTTAGTTTCTAGTTTCCGTTTTTTATAAGTAAAATGTTTTGAAAAAAATATATATTCTTCAATGAAATATTTATTTTTACTATTGCTAGCACTATTTAGTCATTTTATTTCAAACTATAGTATTTTTTATTTTGCCTTTTGCTTCTCTTATCACCTCGTCATTCCTTTCAATCACCACTACACACTTTTTTTTCTTTAATATGTGATTTAGCTTTAAGGTATCGCTTCCACTTTCACACTAATACCACCACTGCCAATGCTTTCATCAGAAAAACTCCCATCAATAACTATTGCTTTTGCCTTTGCCATTATTCCTTGTATTAGTAATATCATTAGGAGGACATGAAATTTCAATTCTAATTTTTTTAAAAAATTTCGAATAACATTTATTAGCTTAGAAACCATATTCGCAGCTTAATAATTTTTTTGTAAAAAAAGAATGATGCGATTAGAGATTTGCTCTTTTAAAATAAAATATACAAGGTAAAAAAAAGTTTTTATTACATTATAAGGTAAAATTATAAAAGTTTGCCTAAACTAAAATGTGATGATGCCGAAACTCGGAGAAAAAAAGGTTATAGAAACTAATAATCTGAAACTTGGTCACTTTGTTCACTATGTCGAAACTACAAATGAACACTGAAACTCAATACATTGATTTGCTAGATGAATTTCCAATCTACTAGGATAAGCTCTAT